CTCTTGTATTAAAAAAAAACCAATCGAAGTAAACTACAGCATTCTGATGTTTTGCAAAAAATAATAAATTTAAACTGTTTGGATTTTTAACGGGAAAAAGTTGTTTTAGTAGCAATAAAAAGCGAAGAAATTTTAGATAAAATTACGAAATGCATACAAATTGTTAAGAAAATTTTAAGAAAATAATGACACTTCGTAGGAGCAGAGCGACGGCATCAATGGTGCCATTATTAAGTGGAAGCCCAACTATCTCTACACGTTTATTGCTTCGGAGTAGATAAACGATTCAAAAGCACTGAACAGTGTACCTGCCGCAGTCGGAGGGCAGTTCTGCTTGTCAGCGAATGCCTTCACTTAACACGTTATCGTACCTAATAATTGACCAAATTATCGATAAGAGGCTGTTAGGAAAATCACACTCACACTCTCAACCGTTAAGCTAGTCTGCTTGGAAACATCAGAATGTTCGTCCCTCACTCAGGCATGTTGATATCGATGATTTGTTTGTTAAATGTAAAAAAGTTAAAGTAGTTTCATAATCAAGATACAATTAAAATAGTTATAAAAAATAACAAAAAATGTTAATAATTAATGCAAAAAAAAACCTAAAAAATTCGAAATAAACATGTATATTTGTTTTGCTTCAATGATATTTTTGCTCGCAAGATATCTGATCTCAATTAACAAGATCACTGATTATCCAGACAAGTATCTTGCTTTTACTAGAATATCAATAAAAATATATCAAAACAATCGCGAGGCCTGCTCGCCTTTCGTTTGTTATTCATTTCTGCGATAATCAAAAGCACATAAAAGTTCAGTTCTATATAAAGAATCGGGCTCAAAGCCCGCTTACTTCTACGAGTTCGATTTTAGTATCAAACAAGTAGAAAGCTCAAGGATTTTATGTTCAGAGAGATATATATCCATTTGTCCGATGAAACCCTGTCGCAATAGTATTCGATATCAAACTGTGACAGAAGACAGATAATATCATTACCGCGACCTTGTTTTCCCTGATTGGATTGTAGCCGCATCTATATCTATATGAATACTATTCGTACTACACTATACAATCGACACCAATAGCAAATGCAAGAATATCTTGCCAGTTTTATATTCCACCAGTTGCTCTTCATTCCGCATTAATATAATAACTCAGTAAAATACAATTTTAAATAAATCAAAATATTTTCTCCGTAAATATACATTTAGAGATATTTCGCTATTTTAAATATTCTCCCCAGACACTTTGTTAAACGTATTATAAGCGGTAATTTTCACAGAAATCGTCTAAAATGATTAGGGATAATTTGCATAACTTGCACAAAATTACACGAAAGTGACATTCACTGTAAGAAATAATACATGTTACAATACCTACAATTTACGTCTACGTAAAAAAAGAAAAAAAATATATTTACATATGCGCTGTTGCAATTTCATGTGTGTACCGCAGCTCGCGAGTGTGCTTGAAAAGTGCTTTTACCAGGAAAAACGGTGCAACCGGGCCTGAAATGCCTGCGTCACGCATTTCTTTAATGAGACCTAAGCATATGGACCAAAGTGCATTATGTGCAGCCACCGGCCGCTAAAATCTTTCTTGTGTTCACTTATTATTCATGTTAGCACACGTGTCGTCGGAGATTTACAATGTTTGCGCGTCGCGGCGTAGGTCGAGCTTCGTTACCTGGCGTCGTGCTCCGTTCGATAGGCACCGATCGACCGCAGCGCGAGGAAAAATTCGCAAGAATTTCTCGTAAGAGATAAATGCTAATTTTCGAGCGGCAATAAAGCGCCACCGTTATGTTCTCTGGTTCGCATAAACGGCATAAAATGTCTAATTTTAGCGGTGCGTCACTAATGTGCAATATTTAGGGTCGTGGCTGCGGGATAATCGAAGGGAAAGTCCAATTATCCTGGCTAAGCGCCTGTTGTCAATCTGCTCGAAACTCGTCGCATTCGTGCGACGTGGACGCGCGAAAGTCGCGTTCGCCCATTATTGGGAAATACGATAAAATCCAATGAGTCGTGAAAGGTCCCAGAGCCACGCGGCTTATGACCGTGCGAATTATTGCCGCTCGAAAATGCAACGAACGCTGTCACTCATGTTAGAGCAGGGCGGTAATTCCGTGCAATTCAAAGCGAATACCATACAGCGTAAAATGAACGACCCGTGTTTATGCGTTACGCCGCCCTGCACGCGCGCGTTCCTTTTGCCGAAGTAAACGAAGTATCGAAAATGCGCCGGTGATTATAGGGATCGCAACCGCGGCAGAATAAATCGGAATGCAGATAATGGTCTCGCGCGAAATCTACCATATAATCTCGCGGGACAAAGAAAAACGCTTACGGCGCGCGATCGAAAGTCGTCAATTTGTCATTGATAGCGAAAGGCATTAATCGCTTTTCAACGACTGATCGAACGCGAAGCGTAACGGCTCGCGAGAAGGATAGAGAAGGGGCGAAGAGGACAAGAGAGACTTGCGTAAAGTCGAAAAAAAGGAGAGTATAGAAGCATCAGACCGAATGTCGTTGCTTAATCGCGAGGGGGCTCATCCAAAAAGCATTTTAATTACGCGCTTTTCTTATCTAAAATATGCCACGTTATCGCAGCCGCATCGTCTGATTCTCTCGCTGACAACTCGCCACCTCGCGATAACCAAAGTGGTGGAATTCCATGATCGAGTGTTTACTCAATCATAAGCGAATGATCTCGTACATATGGCCTGCCGGTTTCCTATATCGATCGAGTACAGGACGATCCATCGCGACAGTGTGTCGCCAACAAAATCGAAACCTACAGATCTCCGATAAATCAGAGTGTCCCACTTGATGATTCGAAAGTCCAGTCGATATTTTTTAGCTCGTGCGGGATGCTCAGATTAGCATCTTGAAAATTCTCATTACTTAAGATCGAGGATTAAATCGCGGCGAAATTTTCCCGTACAAAAGATATTAGCCGAGTGTTATGTAAATAAGGTTTTTTATCTAATTAGTATATTAATTTGTATTTAAATTAATATCCGCGGATCTTTGCAAAGGCAATCAGCTAGAAAATTATTTACAATAAAATATGTAGTACGTCGTTAAAATATTAACGTAATAAAATTCACTGCACGTGTAGAGCAAAATTAAAATTTGCAGAAAAAATTAAAAAATGCTAAAAATAAAAAGGAATAGAATAGAACTGGATGTGCGCATAGCTGCAAACGGGTCGCCGTGAAATCACGCGTGAATTCCCCTATCTAGCGCGAGCAGCCGTTGGCTTAAAAGGGTATAGCTTTTCGTTAACCGACTGCAAATCGTGTCAAGGCCCCTTCGCTCACGCTCATCTGCAGGGGTTACTGGTCCGACGTGACAAAGGGTTGTCGCGCGCATCGCGGTTGAGTACCGCTGCTCGGGACCGTTATGCACCAGCAGCAGCACTGCAAATAAATTAAAAGTGATACCTCAAGCTGAAAACTTTCCTTTCTTCGAACGTTTCATAAATTAAAATACAATCTCGTTCGAAGGTATCGAAAGCGATTATGATGCAAATCACCGTCGGAAGAATGGCCGCGCTCGCGTATGCATATAGGGAAGAAGGGCCCTGGAGGAGGAATCAGTATTCTCCCTTAAACTATCCCAGTAGCACACACTGCGCTCGCAATGGATACCGTTATACAAGCGCCGTCACATCCACAAAGTACGACTTGTCTCTTGCCGTATTTGATCATAACTGCATTTTAAAATCGACAAGCGCTTTTTTTCCAGGCCAAAGCCCACTTGTCGTTTTACTGCCCGCTGTCGCTTCCACGAAAAAGTTTGCGTCTCAATGGACGCAACCTTTTTTTTTTTCCTTGGGCGAAGCCTACTTTACTCGTCGACAAACAATTTCAAGCGAGATCGTGTTACGCCCGCGCGTCTAACTGCATCTTAATATCGGCGCGCTTTTGGCCGAATGAAATTTACTCGTGGCATTCCTGCTGTATAGCACTGCTATTATCACAAAAGAGTCCAATCTACGGACGATTCAATCGACTAAACTCGCGGCGTATCGGCACGTTTAATCTAAATGAAATCTTAAAACCGATTCGTGGTTACTGCAGCGACGCGCTCGGTCAAGGAACAATTTCAGCTCGCGTGCATATTGGAAAACGATAAGCTACGAGCTGTGAGCCGTGAAGAGCGGAGCGGCTTATTTATTAAAGAAAATTTAACGAGAAATTTAATAGTACATAATTTCTGTTAATAGACAAAATCATTTTGTAAAATCTAAGCATAATTTTACTATCATTTTCGTACTATTGCGTCAGCTTTCTCGAAATTATCGAGCCGCACATGTTTGTTTCATATCCAATTTTGTTTAATAAACGAGCTTATCGCTCTCGGCTTACGTCTCGTCGTTTATCCGTCGCCAAAGTGCAGACGAACTTTTGCGCGCCAAGTCCGTAGCGAAACGCGCCGGCGTGTCGTGATCCAGGCGTGTGGGAACTTACATTTGGTTCCGCGTTAGACGACGTGGATTGACGAGATCGTGAAGGAACCGCGTGATCCGAAGCGGACGTCATCCCAGTATTCGTGTACGAGTACCTTTGTCAGCTCGGAGCCAGGATCATTCACCGCCGTCGTCGTCGTCGCTTACGCACCCGCGCGCGACCACTACTATCACACAATAACAACAATCAACAACAAACACACCGCACGCAGCACCAGGACACCACGAATCACGCGGGGAACAACGGGCGGTGTATCTTTTGTACGATCCTCGAATCGCAAGGGTGATACGAATCGAAGGGGGATCGTTCAAGTGTCGGTGTAATGCAACGGGGATGCTGGGATCATCCTTCCACCCGTTCCCGTCGGAGTCATCTTAATTCGCGATCGATTGGCGCGCGGCTTGATCAAGATATAACAGCGAGGCGGCGCGCCTCCTCGTGGCAATCCGACGGACGGTGTCGAAGGAACAATGTTACTTTTCTTTCGCTCTCGTTTTCTTTGATTAAAAAGACACTCACGTGCTAAAAGTGAGACGCATCCAGGCGCGTTGCGTCAGCAGCGTCGACGCATTGCGTCGGGCTGGCCTCCGGAAGCTGCTTTTAAAATCCTCGCATCTAACGACACCGCTGTTCCTTTATCACTTTGCCTGCCAGTGACGCGGAAACACACTTCTCGATCGATCCCTCCGATCGATAGCACTTGATCGTTCACACAATGTTACGTGCACTATTCGCGTGTTCGACTTCGCTCGACGGCCGAACGACGAGTGAAACTTGGAAACTGTGCTCGAGAAACTAAACGCTCACGTTGCACCGTCGCGCGTCTGCGGCACTGCTCGCCGTACTGCGGCACAGGCACACAGGTATCGATGCTATTGGCTAGTGTGAAACGTGTAAGCGCGGCAGAGAGCTACAGGTATCTGCAACACGTCTGTTATACAAGACAATGCTATATATCCAGATCGACCATGTGTGGACGAGTCGTCTGGTCTCGCGCGAAACCTCTCATCCGCGCGCTCATGCGATTCCACCCCCCGAGTGGAGTGAGCGATGACAACACGCGATTACGTTCTCAAGACCGGCGGCGACGGCGAGCGACGGTATAGTAGGCGACGGGCAAAACGTCGTAGCACCGTCGCGGTAGCAGCGTCGTGGTGGCAGTGTGTCACAGTTTCACGGACTTGGAAGCGCGCCAAGCATTACTGTCGTCACGAGGAGAGTCGCGACAGGACCGGTGTGGGCAGCGGACACACTTTTGGCGGGGGCGAGAACGCCGGCGCGGCGCCCCTCTCAGCGCGACGAGCGGATCAAACCCTCCGTGACGATCGGCACCCTTCTCCGCGTCTCGCAGAGAACAGAACGAGCCGGCGGGATCGCGCGCGCAAGGTACAACCGGCCGCGGTGCGCCGACGGAGACGTAATATCCAGGACACGCAACAATTTCGCACCGGCGCCGACGGCAACGACACACGACAACCGTAGCACGCGTAGCGCGACAGTATACAACAACGAACGGTGCCGCTGCTTGTGTATCCCGACGGCTCGGAGGCGCGCAAGTCAGCCCCACTAGTGTTCTCTCGTCGCTTACCTGGCCGCTGCCCTGCCGCCGTCGCTCGCCTAGAGCGTACCCCCTCCGCTCTCTCGCCACCCCTCCACTCGTATCGTACACGAGGCTGCCCCTCCATCGACAGGCTCGCTCTTCCCCACCCCTCCCGTCCCTCCTACTATCCCCCGTGCGGCGTGCACTCCACGAACGAACGCCCCCGCCTGCCGCGCAACCCTACTTCTGCCTCATGCACCGTATTCTTTTATAGTGAAATGATATGGAAACGCGTCGTCCGTGTGTGGGCATGTGTGTGTGTGTGTGTGTGTGTGTGTTATTGCTCAGCCGGGGAAAAGGTTGCGGCGATTTCATGGCGACACGTGGCGTGTCAACCCTTGCGTGCTCCCACCGGCCGCACACCCTAGGAATAGCATCGCGGAATGGAGCCACTTGTTTTAGCTCTCTCTCGTGGGTCTCTCTTGGAATAATTATGCTTTCGCAAATTCTGCCCGTACTTTTCAGTTTCGGAAGAGTTTTCGCGCTTCCAGCAGAAATAGGTGCATCGCGTTCCTCGATTTATATCTAGCCTCTTTTTATCGGTTTCCTATCTGCCATTCTCCATCGACTATCACCAAAAAAAAAAAAATTGCAACGCGGTGTGTTATTTTATAAGCTATTACACACGCTCGTTATCAGATATATTCTTAGCACAGATTGGGTTATTATCTTCTCGATACTCGATAAATTCGCTTGGGCAGTCGTTGACTCGCTGCGTCCTCGAAACGTTTAAAAACAGCATGGTGACGTCGGCGCACAAATCTCGCCGATACCACACACAATCCTGCCGTCGGAATATTTTTTCTGAATGGCCCAAGTTCTCTCCAGCCGCTCTCCTCGCTCTTTCTCATCCGCGGAATATCCTTCCTGCCGTGCATCGGTTTCTCCGCAGCTGGCGTCGCTATCCGAACGTTTTACACACTCGCATTTTTGAATCATCACGCAACACACTCGACGCACAATAACTTAAAGGTCACTTTATAACAGCTGGACAATCCGCGGATCGAAAGTGCGCGAGCGTCAATAGCGGCGACACGTGAGAAAGACCGCAGCTTGTCGTCGCCACGGCGAGCAGGCGTGTCGGCGCGTATTTCTGCGCGCGCGGCGAGTCCGCGCCATTCGCGCACGATTTATTTATCTCTTTTTATTACTTTCATTTCGCCGCCGGGATGTGACGGCCAGGCGGTGTATAAATTACGGTACGCGGCATATCGGCTTGTGGTATTCCGCCGCGCTGACTCGTACGTGTCCGGCGACGGTGACGAGCGCACGGTTACGCAATCCCCGCGAGCCGAGAACCGGAGATTTGTTTTTCTAAGTGAGTCAACGGCACGGCATATTATTTTAATATATTTCAATGAATGTCGGAGTTGCACCATTCACAAGGCACTCAAGGACTTTTTCGTGGTACACGTGTGGATTTCGCGTCGTCCGCCCGCGACGAGGTAAATCGAGATGCCAGCGGCACAAAGACGGCGAGGAGGAAAAAAAAAAACAATTCGCGAAAAGAATGTGGCTCATCTCTTCACGGCGCGAGTGAGAATGAGGCACTGATGGACGAACCGTGGCAGCGTCACGAACGCGCCGAACGCAACGAGATAATTAATTATCAATCGAACCGACCGCCGATTATTCCTGACGCGCACGCGGTTGTCCCCGTTGACGCAATTGTGTCGTTCGTTTTGCCTCGATAGCGGCAAGGAATCAGCATCCGCCGACCGGGAACGCCGCGTTCCTGCGCTTTGCTTACGCTGCGCTATTAAATGCGTGTTCAACGCGGTTTCCATATCCGAGATGACGCCCGACGGCGTGTAGATAGCCCATGATAATGTTAGCATTATAGAACATATTGTGCGACATGCACATTCAACAGTGTCATGATAACTGGAGTCTCGGCAAAGCAAACTTCAAGGGTGCAAGCGATAAAATCTTGTTCCGCAGTTAATCTCGAGTGTGCAATGTAATCGGCAACTTATTTATTAAAATATTTTATGTTACAGCTTCTCCAAATTGTGTGAAAAAATATTCACATAATCAAAGTTTTATTCGTGAAAAATTGACTGCAAATTTTCTAGAACTAGCATTATAAAAGTAATATATTCTTTAAAAAATACGTAATATAAAACGAAACATTTTATACCGAATGTGAATATTTTTAAAAAAACACAGATTGAAATATCTTTCGATAATAAACGTCTTTTTGGAACGCAGCACTTAATTTTTAAATCGTTATCAGGTCACCTTAATTAGGTTTGCTCGCGCCAGACGATTAACCGATAAGTGAGCGCTATTTTACATTTTATGAGATTCAGTCCGTCGTCCCTTTTCGACTACACCAAAGTTCCGACTACACGTCGCCAAATCTTGCCACAAGTGGCCTAATTCATCGAACGCCGACGAAGTATCGCGTGGGAGAACGTCGGCGCCTTTTAGGACCGTATCTCGCGGGCAGCTGCCCTTCGATGCACGCAGTGTAAAATCCTTTTTCACGCGTGAGCGACTGGTACTGTTGCATAACAAGGCATGTAACACGCTTTATCTCTTTCATTTTTTACAACAAATTTTTGTACAATTTACTAGATGAATCATAATCATGCTTCAACAGACAAATAAAGAATCTTAATTGATTTTTATACTATTTATAAATATAATCTGATCAAAAATAGAGATGTATTCGAACAGAAATGAATTTTATCCTGCAGAAAAAGACTGAGAAAGTGGCCTTAATATTTTGTTAGCGTGGCCACCAATGTGTACGGTACTGAAAGTCGGTAGGTTTGATCGTTACAAAGCGCTTCTACCTATTTGAATTAATCTGTACCATCTGTGTTGAGCTACCTACGCTACACGTTGCACCATTTAGGAGTTATTTTAGAAAAACTCACTTCACACACACACACACACACACACACACACACACACACACACACATACGTTAGTAGAAAAGAAACGAGTGACGATCTTTGTAGCGCATGGACAAGGGTGAATCGGGATTCTCGCTTAATTATCAAAGGCGACAAGTGCCGGTGCTACGGGCTAAATTCACCAGAAACCTGCTTCGAGATACCTGAGGCCAACGTTGGCGTAAATCATAGAACAATAGGGTAGGACCTTTGTTCATCGACCGGAGCGGAAATCTCCCTCAGAGAAGATACCTTTGCCTCGCTCGTCTACGTTTTCAAGGGAAGATCACGAGGCGTCATTCAACAAAATCCTCGATCTCGATATCGGATTCACGAATTTATACACGTAAGGCCTTATCATCGATCTGCATCGAGCAATCGAATCGTGAAGGAGAAAAAAAGTCAACGGTCGATTTTTGATAAACTAATCGGGTTAAAGCGCGAAGTGAAGCCTGTGAAACAAGAACGAAAGCGTTTGATTAAGCGACGAAAGAGCGTTTTATTTTATTTTGAACGAAGCTCACGAATGTAAAGCAGACTAATAATCGTCGCTGCGGCTTGCACGAGTGACGAATCGTTCGCAGGAGCTGCCCACCACATCCTCGAACTCTTCAACGCTGAGTAACCGATGACACGGTCACGGATTGAAATATCCCGACGTACGTCTTTTCTTCTATTTCTGGCCGGCTCCAAACGAACGAGTCCGCTTGCACGTCTTTATTAGATTGCGGCAAATGGCGCACGCTTTAAAAAAAGAATTGGACGTCCTGAATTCCACGATCGCTCACCTACTACGATTGGCTGACGATTAATCGATGCTAATTAACTTTATAATCTTGTCGAATTCCAATCGCGATGATATCACGATCAGAGTAATGTCTTTCTATGTGTATAAAAAAATAACTCGCGACTCGTACCGTTTTATCGACTACGTCGAGTTGTGTACAAGTGGTAATCAGTTGACTGATTGCCACCTGCTCGCTGTATATTTCTGGAAGATTCATACCGGGCAAAAGATTTGATTAAGTCTAAAGTTTAATATGGAACTGTTGATTCGCGAAAATATTTTCTATATTTAATAACATTAGTAGAAATGTAATTTTTTTCTATAAAACATTTTTTATTTTAGATTTGCAAATATCCCACATTTATTTTTCTATCTAGATTCTTCGATAATTCGCGTAGAAAATGGAGATTCCTGTGTTAAACAAAGAATGATTAATGATACTGCAAATGCAATAATGTCCGCATCCATAAACATCGGCGATGTTCTGAAATGCGCGCCGCATTTATTACATCGATGAATAATTGATACGATAAGTCTTATGTGGACAGGAAATGTTTTAGGCGGTTTGTTATGTCACAAACGATGCACTTTCCTCCACCTCTATTTGTCACGAACTTACCAGGCTACAAACTTGCAGATTGCAGTCTGCGCGTCAATTAGTCACTCTCACGGCAATCTGTTACCTGCTTGCAACCTGCGACCAATTTTCGAACGTAACAAATCGCAGCTTATTTCGTTCGGCATTGATTACACGACTGAACGAGATATCAAGCAAATGGTTTTTTCTTGTTTTTTATATATAAATGATAGGCGAAATTTTATAACGTAATAAATAAGAAATTTTTTATTTAAATCGCTACTTGAAAAAATTAATCATTATATTAAAAATGATATTTATTTATTTTTTATGCAGCAGGTTGATATAAAATTATATATGTATCTAGAACGATGCTTGAGTATCTGCCCTCGGAATACATGCCCGACTAAAACACCGTTTATCTTCCAAACTGTGCCTGTACAGCGATCCACGAAATGTTATTGTGAGTCATCGCTGTCACAGATTGTAGACTGCGTGCCAATCAAGCGTTCCGGCTCCAACGTGCATTTATCTCTGCTTGATATTCTCGGTTACCAACGTTTAAGTAGTGTCTAAATAACTGAAGAATTCTTAATTCTTTAAAGATGTTCTTAAAATACATGCACACCATCTTATATATTCTACCTTTCTAAAGAACAATTTAAAACTAATTTTGGAAAGTCAGTACTTTTTCAAGTATCTTATGATCTCTCTAGTATCTTATCTCTATTATCATATATCG